TTGGTCCCTTCAAAATTATTCTTGTTTCTTAGTCATGTAACGTTATCTCAGACTTATTCTCAAGTTTCTTTAAGTCGACCGATCATTTGTGAACATTTTCGAAATACTGTTTTCCTTCAATCTTACATTGAATTTTCTGGATGTTTCTCTCACATAAGGTTCATTTTAATCATGACAGTTGATCTCACAGACAATATTTTGTTGTTCTTCCTTTGGTAATCTATCCTTAACTTTCACTAATATCGATCTTTTGGTGTCACTTGCCCGATAAGACACTCTTATATCATGCTTGTTTAGAATCTGCTTGATTTCTTCTGATGTTTCACTACGGTATGGGATGGTCACTTATTTATAATTGTTGTCAGGACTTTATATATGGATATCCGTCAAAAAAATTTTAAACCATTATATGTAAAAACATTTTATTCTCAGTGATATCATTTAAAAAACTAGCTTGTCTGACTACTGGATGTTTAATACAATCTGGTCAATAATCCAACTGTTTTATTGTTTCTAAGAGATGAGACTCTGTTTGTACTATAAGTATTCAGATGGATAGTTAAGCAGAAAGTCTAATGGTTAAAATTGAACAGTACTTAAGCTGAGAAACAATAGAAATCAAATTTGATACGAAGCTCAGAAAACGTATTGTAAATAGAAGATGTAGAAACACTTTTGTTTATTTCTCTGAGAATATAGGGAAAATCCCTCTACATATACTTATCCTGTGATCATTTCCTTGTTTCCTTTTATATATTTTATATTGATCGTCGTCCATATTCATGAAGAAATCCCACAGGTGTTCAATGTTTGACAACTCTTTTGCACGTAACACCTTTATAAACAAAGGGTTTCAAACCAGACAAATATGAAGTCAGGAAAGTTTGAGTTCGAAGATATATTAGAAAACCGGTCGGTATGTTGAAATGCGTCTGATCTGAGCTAGCTAGTAGTTGCAAGAGACGCGTAGACTGGCGTAATCACCGGTGGCCTGGTGCAGATGCGTAACCAAGCGCCTTCAGCTAGGGTGTGTCCAGTAAAAAAACTTGATCTTCACTGTAAACTGGCATGCCTCATGTAACATATTGTTATTTGAGAATATATCATTATTAATGAGGTCAATATTAGTGTCGAGGACTTACAGAACCATTTATTTGAGGGTCGATTTGTGCCACACAAACCTGAGCACTTGGCTTGCTTCCCGAGACGATTGCAGGACACTGAATCGAAATATAACACTCTTGCCAGGGGACTAGAAGCTATGTATTGTGTTCTACGGTACTTTCAAAATTCTGTGGTAGGCCGAGAATTTACTGTGTATATCGACTTTACAACTCACACCTTCTCTAATCTCGTTTGTAAATAAATAATTCCTTGAACGCTTGAGAAGTGGACTATATTTCTCAGTCAACAAAATATTTCTTGAGCGATCAGTGTAGTTGCAGGCGCCTTGTGTCGTATAACTTTCTTGAACAGTTTACATAGGAAAGATCTTCTTGAATTCGCCCAGCATCAAAAACAGTACACAAATCTTCAGCACGAGTTATCTTCAACAACCCAGAAACTACGAATCAAAAGATGGGGACGGGTAAGCAAACTTTACTTCGTGACGCATCACATGTGACGAAATAGGAAAGACTAGATTCAAAGAGGTTTATCAGGAATAAGAACCAAACAAGGCGGGTTTCCTCATGGCCTCTAAATTTATAAATGTCAGAGTTATGAATTATGCACCAGTAAACTTCGTTTTCAAAACTGCTTGCTTTTATTCCAAATGATGGTTAACACTGATACGTTCACGCCACATGCTCATAATTCGCAACTCAGACTTCAGTACTGTAAGCTAAAATCTTTCTTTCCCATTATCTAAAGTAAGGTCTTATTGACATCAAGCCCATCACTGATATAAAATACGTATTGTCTTCGGAAAATCACTTTTTCATGACTTCGTGTCAAATATCACTGAGTTTTTTCACAGCATTGGAACGTTTAGCGATAATATGAGTTTACTGTCGTCACATATAATGGAAGAACACAATTATCTTCACTCTGAGCCATCCATCGGTACAGTCATTATTCTGAGTATTGGATGAACGTTGAAGTCAGCTCACAGATGATAGTGATAAATTTGGACAATCTAACTGATTCAGATAAAGTTTGAGTTGTTACGAGACTTTAAAAACAATAAATCGCAACACAATGTCAGTGCGATTCATCATGAAACCGGCTGTCAGTTTACAGTGTCATTCAGCCATTTAGTTCAGTGAAATGGCAGGCAGAAAATTTTAACTTTAAAAATAAATCTCTAACGACTTCCACAACAACACCTAAAATCCTTGTTATTCATACCTAATTCCTAGCATAACAACTTTCGTGCTTATAGGTAACCCTCGTGCTATTGACAGAAGAAACCAGACAAGTAGTGAATAGGTCTTTATTTCGATCTTTGCGCAGTCACAGTGGAGCGTGGGATTATCTGTTCAGACAAACAAAGGCTCTCAACATTCAATATAAGATAATAGGGAATATAACGCTTATAAAAAATAAGGAAGTGAATGAATACTTGAGCAATACCGTTTTGGCATATGCTTTATTGTTTGGGGTCGACTCTTAACCAACCAATCTAAGCTGTTACACAACTGCCTTTCAAATATGCCTTTGAACCTGTTCAGTCCCGCCTTTTGAATTGACTAGCTCTCAGACGCTCGACTAGAAGAGTGCTATGAGCAAATACGCTATCTTTGGTTTGTAAAACTGAGGACCTCATTGTGCAAAATAAACAGAGATCAGGGATCCCATCAACGTAAATATTAGGAAAGCTATACGACTGGATTAAAGAATATGGAAAAATTAATAAAACTTCAAAGTGAAGTTCATTTTCGCATTATAAGACGTTAAATGGTTCAAATGGTTGTGGACGGAATAGAAGAAGCTTTCGCTTAGCAGGCTTCCGTGTCTAGTAGCAGGGGATCACCAAATCCTCCAGGCAGGAACCTAAGTTGTTAACAATAAAAGAGGAAAAGAAATTAGTAAATCATAGTGTGATTCTATCCTTAGTCCTTAAGAATACATCAAGTTTCCTCTTAAAGGACTCCTGGGACGTCGCTTGTACTAGCTCGGCCGGCAGCGAATTCCAACATTTGACAGCTCTTAAGGAGTAGAAGTTGTGTCTACAGTCCGTTCTGCCATGTTGTGTCTCCAGTTTTTGGGTGTTACCTCTTAGGTTATTATTCGAACTAAGTTTAAGTAGGTGTTCAAGAGGATGTCCAGAAGTGTTAAGGATACTGTACGCCCGCAGAAGGTCACCTCTAAGACGTCTATACTTTAATGGGTAAAGGTTAAGCGAATGGAGGCGCTCTTCGTAAGGTTTAATTTTGAGTCCTCGAACTGATTTCATGGCTCGCCGTTGGATACGCTCCAGAGTGTCCTTATACTCTTGGAATAAGGCGGGAAATACTATGACTCCGTACTCTAAATGTGGACGGATGAAACTATTGAAGATTGTGTGGAAAGTTCTTCCGTCAAACTGGCCAAAAATGCGCTTCAATGTTACCAGTGCAAGGTTTGCTCGGAAGGCATTTTTGTCACAGTTAGCGTAATACTTTAAATGATGGGACACCAGGACTCCTAAATCTATTTCGACTTGGGATACTACTAGAGAGGAGTTTCCTAAGTTGTAACTGCAGTTTGCGACATGTCGCAGATGGACTACTTTACACTTTGAAGTGTTAAAGGTAAGTCCGTTATCGTCTGCCCAACTTTGAAGTCGAGTCAGATCCTCCTGAAGTGCCTGTGTATCGTCTTGGTTGCGTATCTCTCTCCAAAGTTTCACGTCGTCGGCAAAAAGTAATAAGTCTGACGTTACCTGTTGAGGAAGATCATTTATGTAGATCAAGAAGAGAAGAGGCCCTAGTACTGAGCCCTGGGGGACCCCACTAGGACATTCCATAGCCTGAGATAAAGTGAAATTAACCCTAACCTTAAAGTGTCGATTTTTTAGGTATGAAGTAAGCCAATCGATTAGGGGTGGTTTGATACCTAGTCGTTTGAGCTTGTTGATAAGACACATGTGGTTAACCTTATCAAAAGCTTTTGAGAAATCAAGGTAGATGACATCAACCTTTCCCTTGCAATCGAGGATGCTTGTCCATCTGTCCACCGCAGTCAGCAGGTTGGTTATACAAGAGTAACCCTTCCTGAACCATGCTGTTGGGGTGAGAAGAAATTTAAGGACAGTAGATAGTCATTTAAACCGTCGCATATCAGGGACTCCATGAGTTTTGAAGGTAATGACAGAAGAGCCACCGGCCGATAACTTGAAGGTTCATTGCGTCGACCACCTTTGAAAATTGGTGTGATGTGAGCCAACTTCCAATTTTCCGGTAATTTGCCTCGGCTAAGCGAGTGAGAAAACATCACGCTAAGCGGCGTTGCCAGGATTGAGGCTGCCTCCCTCAGTATGGCAGGATGAACCGTATCCGGGCCAGGAGAAGTGTCTAGTCTCATGTGCTGCAATTTTCGGAACACCAAGTCAGCGCTTAGGTCCACTTCAGAAAGTCCTGTGGAATTGCAGATGAAACTGTCGTCAGTAAAGTTGATGTCAGCCGGTTGAAATGTTTGAGAGTAATGTGCCGCCAGAAGGTTAGCGGCGTTAGTTTTTGATGAAAACCTCAAAGGTCCATATACATGGTCATTAATAATGCCAGATATGTGCATCAGCCATAAATGAACTGTTTTTTCGTCACAAATTGTTACACAGCCATATATTGCTGTTTCCACAATCAAAATTGGTTATTGGTCATCCATACATTTTCAAGTTTTCGGCTACAAAATCATGAAAGCAATTAAACAGAAAGAGAATATTTGATAGAGATAATTTCGGAAGAGTAAAGCGCTGATAAGTTCACTTATTTACGTTTTTAGTTCAAACGTCAGAAATTTAAGTGAACGTTTGGTTATTTTCAGTTGGTAGCGCTCTTTTTGAGATGTGACCTTCGTAGATGCAGAATCCTAACAGCATTCTAAATTTAGTTCTGATTGGCTTTCATCACAGGAAGGGGTCTGTTGTAAGTAGTTTGCTTTACGAACAAGTTTGATTTCACAAGGTTGAGCTAGTCTATCCCTCACTGTCATGTGATAGTTCTGATCCTACACATCTCCCTTATCCATGGCGTCATTTGCCTGCTTTAGCAATAGCCGATGGAGCCCATAACTACACAAAAGGTTGGTCACGAACATAAATGGTTAATTTATTCAGATTGCACATATTTCAGCCTACCTTCGATAGAGAAGAAGGGTGACTCTGTTTTTGGAATTGCTTGTTACCGCCAGGCAGACTCGGCTGTAAGTTTTCATACTTTTTAATGACTGATTGTATTACCTAGCAATAATTTGTTAAAGAATACATTCCATCATGCGGTTACAACTGATTTCGCTACTTCGCTGTAGATATTTTAGTCTATTCAAATGTCATGAATTAATTATTAGAGAATCCTCATGAAACAGTGCTGCACTGTTGACAGAAATATATTTTGTCATAGTGTCAGCCTAGTGTGACGTTATCCACATAGTCTGGTAAGCTACAAATTCCCATGGAGCTCCCAGTATCGTCGTCTTAGGCTTCCTATCCGGGCGTGCAAACTGATAGTTACTCTGTTTGTATTAATATTGGGATGTAGTGGTTCATACTGGCCCACAATTTTTAGACACAGATGCTCTGAACTAAACTGCTGTCCAGGCCTCGCGTGTACATGCTTTGTCCGCTCATGAATCTGTATACCATGTCGATAGTTATTTATATGTACCCTTTGAATACATTCGTCAGTCGTCCTGCTCCTCTGTTTGCGAATAAAGTGTTTTTGTGGTTGGGAAATGTGCTTAGGATTATCTGTGTCATTAAGCTAAAACATTTTATGTGCTTCTCACAACATTGCACTCGTAAAATTGTATTGTATTTTTAAGGTCAATGTCTGTGTGCTATATATTGAATAACAAATTAGCTTCAGCCTATCTCAGATACGCGAAAGTTGGCCTGATGAAATTTTAGAGACTAGATATATATCACCAACACCCTTTTTGCAGTGCGGAGGTTCGGAAACGTGTTTGAGCACGGTAGCGATAATTAGGTTGGTGTCACCACCTTGAAACATCGACTTCGGTGGCTTGGACATGTACTATGAATGTTTCCCCAGTGAATTTTATACTGGGCATTATTTCCCAACGCCGAAACACGTTGGGGAAGGCGGAGAGGTAGTCATTTTATAACTTCCGCGATACAAAAGTAAGCTTTGCAGAACTGGCGTCTGTTGGTCCTTCACGACTCCGCGGTCGGTGTCCGTAAGAGAGTGCAGCACACCAACTTGAGACTTATTTATTATTTTGACACAAAAAGGGGCGCCCGATACATATGTGCTACACAAAAGACTTGATTTGTGTGTGGGCTATGATACTGCTCGAGTGCCCAAACCGAAGCCAGTGAGAGAAACATTTTCAACTGAAAGGATTCTTTCTGATTGTGTTTTTGTTAACTGAACTGTTTCTTCAATTATATACTGCTTTCGTCCACTTTTATTTAGTTGTCTTTGACCATACCTGTTAAGTTCAACGAAAAATAAATGAATAGTAATTTCTAGGTACTATTTGGAATATTATCTCAAATAATTGTTAAGTAACTAGATTATGTGCATTCCTTTCATCATAAGCATTTATTTGACCTATTGGTCGTAACCAATGGTTGGAGACTCTTGGTGACATGGCTCAGAATCGATCACAATGGCGTAGGTGTATACACTCTCTATCTTCCCTTAAACTAAGAGATTAAAATTGCTTCATATCTTTCTTTCTACGAACTAATTCTTTCTTCCTGTACTGTATCCTTATTGCAATCTTTCTTTTATATATTACCACCTCTGAATTAACTACTTTTATGAATCCGGTGTCCATCTTGTTGTGTTAATGAGGTATGGCAACCTGGACCGATGCATAAATGTGCCTGGTCCTACGTTGTAGCTGACTGACTGACTGACCTATTGGCTATTGTTATACGATTTGCCATCACTAATCCATATCTATTATTTACGGTCCCATAATCACAGCCTTTTTGGGCTTGATCACTACTTTCTATTTTATAGTGTTATGCGATCTGGTCTGTTTGTATGTAAACCACATGTGTCTGAAATATACAATTCCTACAAAAGTGGCTGATATTTGTGTTGTCGAACAATTGGGCTGGACTAGGCGAGAAGTTACTATACGAAGGACCAATAAAGACTCGGACTTGACTCAATTCTGCTAGTGCTGGTTGGCGCACCATTGGTTTAGCTCAGGTACAAACCGGTATTCTGATTGGCGATTTTGTCACGCGATATTTGATGGGTTATATATCATAACACTACCCACCTATCTCTTCATTTTTCATTGTGTACCTCATATTTATTTTGGTGCCCATTTAAGCCAATGTGTCTCCAAGTAAATGATATGAATAAATGAAATGTCTGCATTATGCACGCATAAATAACTGGATTATCAACTACTTTTTTTACTGTACATCCTAGAGATCGAGGTGTTTTAAGCTAGTCTCCAATCACTGTTATCGGAAAATGATTAATGTGTCTGGACCAGTTATTCTTGTCTTATTTTTCTTTTTTCTTCGGTTATCGATGATTTCGCCGGCCAGTGGCTACTCACCACTTATTCCTATCATTGTGTACCATAAAATGTCAAGTTATAAAAAAACCAGTCGTTTAGTTGTAACTCTGATTTCATTTCCTGTCATACTCGAAAAGCTGAGGACTGTAACTGTCAGTTATGCTTTATATATGTAGACACGAGTTTTGACCAGGCTCCATTTTAATGGTACATCTGTCTTTAAAATAGTTTACGTTAAGACGGTTTTATCAGGATTATACTACTGCTTTCAGGGAATATAACTCTCCATCAATTACTTATCTCTTATTATCGTGAAGAAGCGAAAAGTTTACAAATTTTAATTACATTTTTCATTTTTAGTCGTATGTTCAACCTAATCCTGAGATCACTCGAAACACTGTACAGAAAAGCTTGGTTGTACTATCGAGATTTGTAAGTAGTATGCATAATCCCTATTATGTGTTTTCATTTGTAATCGTTTTTCAGCTATATCCCGACCGTTGTTGCTACCTTGACGTGGTGGTCGGGCTTGCCTATCGTGATGAAGCAACCGAGCTATACTGGCTGGAACAACCGTTCCTCAAGGTCCTACCATGTCAGACAGGTCGGTTGAAGAGCGGTAAGACTAAAAGCAACAAACCCAAGGTCCGAAGGCGAAGTCGTACTGCTGACTGTACAGAGGTGTGACAGCAGTAAGGTGTTTCCTTCAGACAACCAGCATGACAGCGATGCTGCCTTCCCACAAGGAGGGGTGGGGTTAGAAAAGGTCGACCCTAAAAATGCACACCTCGCCTTATCCCACGGATATCCGTCTCCGGCGGTAAGGTCTCAATAAGTACGGAGCTAACACAAAAATTACCCATAACAAGGTCGTGTGTGACCGACCTCAAGCAGTTGTCCCTTGGGCACTGCGGTCACGCTCTCAGTTCACTAAGACCACCTTTAATCCAATTTCCTTTTCAGGTACCTCCAGAACAACCCTTCCACGGTGTGGGCAACCGGGAAGTGATAACCGCCCTCATACTTCTAACAGCACTCAAGTCCACTGTATTCATAATCAACCTCCTTCTTCAATTCCTATTATTCCTCCTACATCGACTTTCAACTCTGTATTTCCTCTCTCGGCTTCCACCTCAAGTGTCACCGTAGCCAACGATTCTAGTGCGCAAAACACTGTCCCAGGTCTACTGAAACCTCGCTCCAAACTACACATTGGAGCCTTCAACGTACGCACCCTATGTCAAATCGGTCAGCAGGCTTCCTTGGCTAAAACCCTAGAGTCTCTTTCCATTGATGTATGCTGTGTCTCCGAAACACGCATACAGGATTCCAGTGTGGTCATTCACTTGACCTCACCTCGGCAAGACGGAGAGCCAACGAGATACACCCTTCGTGTGTCCGGTGACCCGATGGCAAGTTCTCGTGGACTGGCAGGTGTAGGCATAGCACTAAGCATAAGGGCCGAACAAGCACTGCTAGAGTGGATCCCCGTCAACAGTCGTCTATGTGCTGTTCGGCTGAACGGCTACGTAAGAACTCGGAAGGATAGGGACACACGTCGTTGCCTTTTTGTCGTTTCTGCCTACGCTCCCACTGACTGCAGCTCAGATGAAGTGAAAGATGAATTTTACAGAAAGCTATCCGAACTTCTTCAGAAAGCTAAACGCTCAGACATAGTACTCGTAGCAGGTGATTTTAATGCTCAGATAGGCAGTTTAAACCAAACAGAAAGGCATTTAGGTGGATATTTTAGTATTCCGACACAGCGAACAGATAATGGTGATCGTCTGCTGCAGCTATGCTCAGACAATCGTTTATTTTTAGCAAACACAAATTTTAAGCATAAGGAGAGACATCGTCTAACATGGCGACCCCCTACACCAAACCAACGATGGACTCAAATAGACCATATTGCCATCAGTCATCGTTGGAGAGGGTCGGTAGAAGATTGTCGTTCATTCTGGAGCACCTGCTTGGACTCCGACCATGCCCTAATACGGGCACGCATCTGCTTGCGCCTCAATGGACGCAAAAAAGCCACATTAAAAAGACCCATTAGAACTGAGTTGAGTAACGAGAAAACCAAAAGTAGGTTCCAGGAACAACTGAGGTCACACTTAGGTAGTTGTGAAGACGAGGCTGACCCAGATGTTGCTTGGAAGGACATACAAGCAGCTGTGGAAACAGCAGTGACATCTGTTAGTGACTTAAACCACAGAGTTACAAGGAACCAGTGGATTTCTTCAAGGTCTGTCACACTGATGGATTCTCGCAAACTCGTCCCATCAGGTTCTGAACATGATGAAGAGCGTAAACAAATCAGATCTAGGTTAAGAAAAAGTCTAAGGAACGACCGTGAGCAGTGGTGGGTAACGAAAGCAAAAGAGATGGAAAAGGCGGCGACTATAGGGAACACAAGACAGCTTTACAGACTAATAAAAGAAACTGGAACTAATAAGTCAAGTGTAAGTGAGATTATTTCGGAAAAAGATGATACTCTCATCTGCTCCCAGTCCAGACGTTTAGAACGATGGGCGGAACATTTTAGAGAACAGTTCAGCTGGCCTTCAGCTACTCTACAACTACCCTCCATTCCCAGACAGTGTGAATGGAACATTGAAGTAGGTCCCCCAACTCTTGCTGAAGTTGAGAAGGCTATAGTTAATCTGAAACGAGGAAGGGCAGCTGGTCCAGATGGACTGGCTCCAGAAGTCTTTAAGGATGGTGGTCCAATTTTAGCGATTAGGTTGACTAATATTTTAGCTAAGATCTGGGAATTAGACGTTATCCCATCTGACTGGTCGCAATCACTTATCGTCCCAATATATAAGAAAGGGTCAAAATCATCCTGTGACAACCACAGAGGGATTAGTTTAACAAACATAGTATCTAAAATACTGGCCTCGATAATTATCAAACGCCTAACTAAGACTCGTGAACTACAAACACGAGAGAACCAAGCTGGCTTTAGACCTGGTCGTGGCTGCATCGACCACATATTCACCATTCGTCAGGTTCTAGAACACAGGCATACCTATCGGCGTCCGACGATGGTGGTCTTTCTTGACTTAAAAGCAGCATTTGACTCTGTAGACCGCGAGACTCTGTGGCAGTGTCTGTCATTGAAAGGCGTACCTCAGAAGTACATAAACCTTGTGAAGGCTCTTTACTCGAACACTACTAGTCGAGTCAGGGCTTATGGCGAACTGTCATCTACCTTTACAACCTCAAGTGGTGTCCGTCAAGGCTGCCCACTTTCTCCATTTTTGTTTAACTTCATCATAGACCTATTGATGGAAATAACACTCTCGTCGACTGAATTCTCGGGTATTGATCTCCTTCCAGGAGGTCCACTTATCGACTTAGAATATGCAGATGACATAGTCCTGTTTGGTGAAGACGCTGACAAAATGCAGAGTCTTCTGGTAGCACTAAGCAACAATGCCAGAATGTTTGGGATGCGCTTCTCTCCCTCTAAATGCAAGTTGTTGCTTCAGGACTGGTCTGCGTCAACACCTGAACTAAGGATAGGGAGTGAAGTAGTCGAACGTGTTGACAACTTCACTTATCTTGGAAGTCTGATCAGCCCTAATGGGTTGGTGTCTGACGAAATCTCAGCACGGATTCGTAAAGCTCGTTTGGCTTTTGCCAACTTACGTCACCTTTGGCGGAGGCGAGATATCCGTCTATCAATAAAAGGACGAGTATACTGCGCGGCAGTCCGTTCTGTTTTAATTTACGGCAGCGAAACATGGCCCTTAAGAGTAGAAGACACCCGTAAGCTACTAGTATTTGACCACAGATGCCTTAGAAATATTGCTGGCATCTGCTGGGATCACCGGGTAAGTAATAGTGAGGTTAGACGCAGGGTATTAGGGAATGATGGTAAATCAGTTGATGAGGTTATGAATCTTCATCGACTGAGATGGTTGGGCCACGTATTACGTATGCCTGAACACCGATTACCGCGACGTGCAATGCTAACCGGTGTAGGGGATGGTTGGAAGAAAGTTAGGGGCGGCCAAACCAAAACGTGGCATCAGTGCCTGAAGTCACTAACTTCTAGTCTGAGCCATGTTGGTAGATGCAGACTACTTGGTTGGGGTCCGCGTGACTTTCGTAACCAATGGTTGGAGACCCTTGGTGACATGGCTCAGAATCGATCACAATGGCGTCGGTGTATACACTCTCTGTCTTCTCTTAAACTAAGAGATTAAGATCACTTCACATCTTTCTTTCTACGAACTAATTCTTTCTTCCTATACTATATCCTTATTGCAATCTTTCTCCTATATATTACCACCTTTGACCTAACCACTCCTATGAATCCAGTGTTCATCTTGCTGTGCTAATGAGGTATGGCAACCTGGGCCGATGCATACATGTGCCTGGTCCTACGTTGTAGCTGACTGACTGACTGACTTTCAGCTATGTACAATCTTGACAACCAAACTAAAGTGTATTTTTATCGTTGGAATACTCATACTCTTTGTTTTCTGTGTTCTGATTCTTACTATTACTGTAGCACATGTAAGCGTATAATGATAGCGAACAACAGTAGCCCGTAGTTATGATTGTCTTGACCCCGGTCATTACCACTACAATTGTTGTTTCAATACGCATAAGTTTAGGATATGTTTATGATTATTTTCAAAGTATATACTATGACAAACATCAGTTCACTTCAGGGTATCGCAAAATATACTTTGATGTCCTCGTTGTTGGCTTAGTATGCCGAACTGGTCAATCAAGTCACTCACTACGGTGACTACATTTGAGCGTCCAATTGCATGTGGGCTAGGAAGTTTACAGTGAGACTCTACCTTTATATTTTTCGAAGTAGAAACTATTAATAGGTAGTGTATATCCTTAACATTACCAGTTTTTACCCAAATCTAGGAGTTGGACATAATTCCATCTGACTGGTCGCAATCCCTTGTCCCAATATATAAAAATCGGTCAAAATCATCCTGTGATGGCCATGTACGGATTAGTTTGACTAATAATAGCATCTAAAATACTAGCTTCAATAATAACCCTGTTTGGTGAAGACGCTGATAAAATGCAGTGTTTTGTTAGCACTGAGAAACAATGCCAGGATGTTTGGAATGCGTTTCTCTCTTTCTAAATGCAGATTGTTGCTTCAGAACTGATCTGCGTCAACATCTGAACCAAAAAATAGAGAGTAAAGTAGTCGAACGCGTCGACAACTTCACTTATCTTGGAAGTCTGGTCAGCCCTAATGGGTTGGTGTCTGACGAAATCACTACACGGATTGAGAAAGCTCATTTAGACTTAGCCAATTCACGTCACCACCTATGACGAAGGCGAGATATCCATCTATCAATTAAAGGACGAGTGTACTTTATGGATGGGAAACGTGGCCATTAAGAGTATAAGTTACTCATAAGCTACTAATATTTGACCACAGTTGTCTTAGAAATATTGCTCGCATCTGCTGGGATCACCGGGTAAGTAATGGTGAGGTTAGACACAGGGTATTAGGAAATGATGATGAATCAGTTGATGTGGTTGTAAATCTTCATCGACTGAGATGGTTGGGCCACGTGGTACGTATGCCTGAACACCGATTACCATGACGCTCAATCCTGACTACCTTTGGGGACGGTCGGAAGAAAGTTAGGCGCGGCCATCAATCCACAAAATCACTAACTTCTGGTCTGAGCCATATTGGTAGATACAGGCCACTTGGTTGGTGTCCGCGCGACTAACATAACCAATGGTTGGAGACTCTCGGTGGCATGGCTCAGAATCGATTACAATGGCGTCGGTGTATACACTCTTTGTCTTCCCTTAAACCCTGAGATTAAAATTACTTTATATCGTTATTTCTACTAACTAATTCTTTTTTCCTGTATTATGTCCTTATACGCAATTTTTCTATCATACACTACTACCATTGAAGTGACTACTATGAATATGGTGTTCATCTTGTGCTAATGAGGTGTGGCAACTTGAATCGATACATATACGTGTCTGGTCCTTCGTTGTAACTAAGTGACTGGTAAGGGAAGTAAGTGAAGCAAATGTTATATCCTAATGAAGATTAAATTGCGGTTCACCTCATAACTATTAAGGGACTAATATTATATATGTCCTTATTGTATGACTATTCAGTAACAAGATTATGTATATCCATATTCCTTTTATTACAAGCTTTATTTTGACTTATAGATTATCATTATACGATTTACTGTTCTTAAGTTATGTCCAATTTATTAATTACAGTATCCCACGATCACATCCACTTTTTTTCTTGATTTTGTACAAAATGTTATTTCCCATTTTGTGGTATGATCTGGTCTGTTTGGCATGTATATAAACCAGTTACGTTTGAAATAAGTGATTCATATAGTGGAATTCGGTATTGGTGTTCTGGAGTCAACTGGTAAAGGTAGGAGGAAAGAAGACATAAGAACGCTAGGCTGCTCATACAGGTCGATACATCATTGGTTTGGCGCAGTGCTAAGATTGTATAAGTCGTATTCCGATTGGCGAATAAGTCACGTGGTAATTAGCCGGGTTTACAGTCACAACAGTAAACATAGTTAACTAAAAATGAAACTACGTTTCAACAGGCGGTCGTCTGAGCCTGCTGATCACTTATTTCAAAGGATTTGGTATACATCACTATAGTTCTTGTTTGAAAGTTCATTCCTGTTCTCTCATGAGTATATAATCACTAATAATTCCTAAAGTACAGTAAAAATCAATTTACTCCAAGATTATAAAAAGATCAAGTAATCAAAAACGAATAAATTATTAATTTGTTATGGTGAAGTTCTCAATTAAAATTTGTCGACTTTGCTGATTCCAACCTTCGTCCAACCCTGTAATTAAAAACCATGAAAATATAAAAATAGCTTTTATGTGTTTCGTTTTAAAGCTTTACAGGAATTTTAAAAAAGTGCGAAGATAACCGCTATTTAAGAGATCTTATTATCTTTGATACTATCCATAGTTTATCTTATGTAATACATTTTTTTACTTCACATATTTCAGTGCAGATAGTACTACCTGTTCTTCAGAATGATAAGTGATTTTGATGAGAATGTCCCACTTGATCTTGGTTAATCGTACAATCACACTTTCTCTATATTTATCACCAGTCTTAATTTAGGGGGACTTTAAAGTAGATAACCTATTTAATACAGGAACACGTTGTAAACAACGTAATTCTTGAAGTGAATAATTTCATTTTTTAGCCATTTTAGTCACCTCATTTTCTAACGTGTAATTTCTCCCATGAGATATGAGTTTTTTTAATTCTCCTTGTTAATCCACCTCTATTCATTCCAATCCCAAGCAAACAACATTTTCAATGGATGTTAACGTGTTGAACGTTTCACACCTATGTACATGTATTGCGAAAACGTGTGCTAAATCTTGACATTTCTCAGATATCAATAATGGTACTTGGTGTTATATAAAGGACTTCATGATCTTAACTATTCCACTGCAAGTTGTATGCGCATTATATTATAATACCTCACGTCACTTAACTGTAAATATAAGTAATTTACAGTAATAAAACCTTTCGATTGATGTCAGTTCCGTCCAACCGTCAATATCACCTAGTAGCATATTTAATTACAATATATTAGTATTTGTAATTTCTTAATTTGTATTTTCTCTTTTATCTTTTTTCTCTAGCCACTTTTTAGTTTCATCGCCCATCATCTTACGACAATAATTGATAATCTGTTTAAAAGCAAAGGTTTTACTCCAGAAAGTCTCCAGAACTCATATGAACAATTAAGTCATTTTGTAGACACTGTTTTAAGTGATCCAATTTCTTACCAAGGTGTGGTTATATATTGTGCTTAATTTTCAACTAATTAGTTTTTTTCCTAGTAACCGACTTTTGAAGCGCTGTTATGATTGGTTCATAAAATAGTTTTTTGACACAGAACATACCGATCCACTATAAAAGCAATACTTTAGAAAAATCAACCCGTTAACAAATTATTTGACTTAGTAACCACTTATCTGAAGTGTTGAGCAAAGTATGTACTTGAATGTAAATCACTTTTGTTAATCATGGGGTCATTGTAGGATATTAAGCAGACAATAAATTCGGTCCCATAATTCGTAGTCTATTTTCTGATTTGCACATCAAGGTTGTGTTGGAATTACACTTGGTTGAATAGTACGAGATAGAAGTTTTGTACTGATGAAAACTCCAAAACCTTTGGTGAAATGTCCGTGTACAAATTTCATTAAGCAATAAACAGTTGTTACCCTCATCACAAAATGCATACTATCACACTTTTATCAAAAACATACCCTACCTAGTTGTTACTTTGATCACAATGAGTCTTTCGCTGAGTGTTCATCTTCAGTAAAATTGATTTCACTTTATTTCATATATTTGAAAGAAAGTAAATAAAAAAATCAACTCATTCACCAGGTAGTTGAATATCAGTCACACTCTAAATGTGAGAGCTAACGCCATTACTCGACTGCCGAAACTGAAGTAGGTGGAGCGGGGTTGACATAAATAGAAATTAGGTATTTCCTTAACTAAAAATAGATTACTAATTATTTTCGTATAGTTAAAAACAATTACATTGATTAGAATGTTTTAAATATATGACTGTTTTATAAATGTCTAATGAAAAAGAGCTTTTTACACTCATTATTTACGAATTCATTGTATATGTGTGTGGTGTTGACAGTTGATTCGTAACTAGCAGATGTCAGGTCCCAATTCAGTCAACTGGATAACTTTACCACCAGAGGACATAAGTCACTTAAACTGTAAAATAGTATTTATAGGAGATTTTTTACATGGAGTAATATATTCTAAAGTAGGGTGTGCTGCGAAATTCTCAAACTAATCCAAGTATTGACTGCAAAAGTCTGTAAACATTAAGTGGTATTCCTCATTTAATAAAATTACTTAAGATTTCAAGTATAGAATGTAATAACCTATAAATAAAATGGTGTTGTTTCGAAATAATTGATGTTGTCGAAAGTTTTTAGGTATTGAATAAAATGGATATTGTATCATTTAGCAAAGTAATCAAAAGTTATTAAAATGTTAAGCTGTGCAAGTTTCAGACTTATTAGGAACTAATAATTTGCACAATAATCATCTCATATATGAGAGAAAAAAAGTGAAGAATAAGATAAAACTTGGCACTTTCTATTAGTAAAATTAAGAGGGGTGATAAGTTCATGGAAGAAAAATGAGTTGAAGATGACTTTTTTGTACAGAGAGTTTGGGTTTGAAATGATGAAATCCTATCCACAAATCTTCGAACCAGTTTCTTTAACTTCTTAGATGATTTTAAACGACACTTCTTGTGATGGCGTGTAATTAGAGGTGGTCATGTTGTTCATTGATTGAACCGTTATTCAATTTTCATTGACCTTTAGATTTCTTTACAGATTAGTGCAAGAATATTTGTTTACTAAGTCCACGCTTTATGTAACTAACATAACCTGTTCCATGAAAGTAAGTAATAAATCCACAGTGAAACGGCACAAGGTGACCGTTTGTCCTTGAAACTTCCCCGAACGTGGTTTTCAGTAGAAAAAACAATTCAGAGCTTTGTTGAATAAAACATCTTTCTGAAAGATCTAGATAGTCTGTTTTTTAAAAATATCTTTTCAACTTTATCTTCCCTGAAATCACTGTTCATGAATAAAACTTCGGAATTTCGTGAGTACTTTAAACTTGACATTTTGGTTTCAGATTGCTATCAATAGACTTGGTCGGGGAACTGTGGTGTTTGCTACCGATATTGGTGTGGAGATGAAAAGACAATAAAGTCTGAGACAATTGATTGACATTTTGCAAATGAAGTATTTACTGTATGGTCCTCCAATATTGTTAAAAGATTATGTAATTTTGTGTTTAAATACATTCGGTTGTCCTCACTGATGTTTTCGTTCACTAAAAAACCACTCTCTAAAAGTATTCGGCAGACTTTACTCATTTCGTCATCAATTATCTCTTCTGTACATGTTCGTCTAGTTATTTAGGGTATAGAGGGGATTAAATATCTCTTCCTACTTACCAGCATTCAATTCTGGAAGTTCGTATGACTACCCGTTCCAGGTTGGCCTTTTGTATATCTATCGTTGTAAAGATCAAACTTGTCTTCGTTGCTCTGATAAATTTAATAGCTACCATTCTAGTCCACATTAACTCTTTTTCTAATAACTGATTTTAACTTGAAGCTAGAGCATTTCTCTATAAATTACTATTTCCGAGTATGCTGACTAATCTGAGTTGGTAGTTCAGCAAATATTTGCATAATTCACAACAAAAGTTTTATAGAACACCTATTATTATAAACAAAAGTTTCGTTACATTTCAGAAATTATTTTATTTATCAGTTATTCGCCTATCGTAACTACCTTTTTTTCAAGATTGTCGTACATTAGTGAAAACTTTAATCAATTTCTGTTCTATTGTTGTTTTATAATCTTATTAACTCTTCTATTTTTGTTTTCTATTTCAACATCTTCATAGATGCACTATTTTATAATCTAAGTGCGTCCAATTTTGTTCGCGTTTACAAACGTGACGCATTATGTCTATTCAAATTACTTTTATTGGAAAGACGTATTTTATTTACGGGAGATTCTGGCGGAACTCTATCAAATTGGATGTTAACTTTACTCAGTTTGTATCCAGGTAATCAAATTTATGTTATTTATTTCTTGTCATAATTTTTGTCTTCCATACAATTTCTAATCACAATTTATTTGAAAGTGTGAACATTCATTAAGATATGTAATTTCACAATACAATTTTAATTATAGTTTAAGTAATCAAATTCACTGCTAAGTTTTTTGATGATTTGATAGTATTATAAATTATCTTGACATATATATTGACAAGCCATGAACTAACGAAAATCAAGGCTTTTAAATGATTGACCTAATTTAACTTAAGGAATATAGCCCTAAAAAATGAAAAGATGTTTTGACAGCAAACTCATCTGCATATCCAGAAAGACGGTTTGATCTAGACAATGAATTCAAAACATAGTGCTATAAATGCACTAACCTCCTTTCCCCAACTTTCATATGATTGTAAGCTTGTTCATTATTTCCTCCCGAAGAGAAACCAGAAAGAACTATAAATCAAACTATAATACATATGTAACTGAACTATTTTAGATCAGAAGAAATTATGTTAAACAAGGATAGGACGTTTCGCTGCTATATATATATATATATATATATATATATATATATATATATATATATATATATATATATTGGTAATTTTGTTTAACCATTATTACGGTGCTTGCCAGTCAATTCTTCATCCAAGAGAACAGCTGAGGTTGATATATTTGAAATTTTACTCTCTACTGTTGATTTTATCATGGATTCATTGGTTGTTGTATTTTTTAATTAATATTTCTGTTATCGTGCGTTTCAACAGATATGTTACGTAGTGGTTTGTCACAATGTTCCGTTATTGATCCCTCATGGATTTCAGAAGCAAGTTATTGGCCTGATATGAATGATTCCAGTTCAAATAGCTTTAATTCTTATCAGTATTCATTAGAAGGATCATTAACTAAGATCAGTGGACAAGTGTCAGAACAGAATACAGATTCAACTCTAAATAAAGTAAGCTTTCTTGTATGCGTCCAGGAACATCTTCATTTGTTATGGTTCTCAATGAAAAATTGCGATGTTAAATATTGCCGTTGATATGTAACCTTTCTCACTAATCATTTACAATTACGTTTTAGTGTTGGTTATTTATTATCGCACTGGAGAGACCAAGTTTCCTATATTTTATGCGCTTTCTAGATGTCTTCATTTTCAGTACACCATAAGTATAGGTTTAACAACTGTTTCACAAACTCAGTCAAGAAAAACTATTCATTCTACAATTGGTTGTTGGAAGTCTTGTATACGAATAACTATTTGTTAAACGGTGTATTGGGTAGTCAATTGTTGTTAATCTATAAAATATTTTCAAATGTATCTATAAATACTACTAATATTTCGTTATATGAATTCTTAAATCTACATTGTTAAAGCTTACTGGACAAGGAATAATAGACGACATTTCACTGGCTGCTTTAATCACGTTTCTTGTTCCCTGATCATTGCGCCAGTGCTCAGTAGTTATATTTCTTACAAAATTCGATTCATATATGTAGGTTTCTCAGTGGAGTCGCTTGAAGCTCTATATATACTACCAAAAAAGACCACGGTTTAGTGTAACCTGTTTGTTACTTGGAATCAAGTAACTACTTCTATGAATTCGGTGTTCATCTTGTTGTGCTAATGAGGTAATAGCAACTTGGACCGATGCACTTATGTTCTTAGTCCTACGTTGTAGCTGATTGACTGACTGACTTGGAATCAAGTATTAATAATACGGAATTACTGTTCATTTTATACCCTTGGATAATTTACTCCTAGTTTCAATGAATAATATTGAATTGGAATAAAAACATCATCGGATTCCCTTAAATATCTATTCCATCCGCTTGCAATAATTATTTTCATTCAAACAGAAAATAAAATTCGAATTATCCATCTCCATTTTTTTTCATTCTTTCATGTCCTTAACTTTTTCACAACAATAATAACTCATTTCAAGTCCATTTCAATCTTCTAGGAAGAAAACGTTCAGCTTACTTCAAATGTTGATTCCAAGAACTCAGGTTTGTTTATTGGCCTATTATATAAAGATATTGTATGTGCTTTTTTTCACAAGTTCTCATTTTTATGATATGGGTGGATGTTTAATAGTGTTATTAATATCGCCTGCCTATCAGTACCGGTTTTAGTGAATTGTTTACAGAACCCATTTTATAGCTTTTGTTAAAAATGACATCAGATGTGTGTTATTTTCATATGTAAACAACCGAATACTCATCTATATCGTATAAGCCATTTTACTTCGTATTTTCTATGGTATCTACTTATAGCCGTTTCGGTAGGTGCAGAATTTGAGGTCGATGTCTACGTGATTGTTCTAATCAATGGTTGGAGACGTAATATATTTGAGAATCAGTCGTAGTGAAATAGATACGTTCACTCATTGTCATTTATAGGCTCTTAAGTGTTAAATTATCTTACGTTTTTATTCTCGAATCATATTGTTTATGTTTAATGTTTACTACTACCATTAATGATGGTACTATATCTACTACTATGACGTTTATCCTGAGAATTTTAGCTCTATGTACTCATATGGTGATGATACACATATGTGCAAGGTTCAACGTTGCTTATGACTGACTTCTAATTTCTCTTCATTGTATCACCTGATAGTTTATATGAGTATATAAGTTATTTATAAAGATTCACTAAGGTGAAAACCGTTTTAAGAAACTCTATACCAAATTCATGGTCGGATTGACAATTTAATCTGCCAATCAGCATTTTGCAAATACTCATTCTATTTTTGGTTTCAGCCAATAATATTGATCCACAAAGAACTCATATAATAAATGTATCTGACACATTACATACGGAATCAAAACAATCTGTAATAAATGAGTCATATAAAAAATATCAAACCAACAATTTTCTGGAGAAAATAACTGACGATTCAATGTTTAAATTTTCGTTAAATTCACCATTTCCTACTGACGATTGGGGATTTCCTTTATCTGTATTTACGAAAGTGAGTTTTTTGTTATTCAATTCTATGACTTCAATAATTTTCTCTAATTTACTATACCGTTAGACTTAGATTATGCTTGAATAATTTTTCAATCATACTTGCTACAGTTAAATAACAATTATTTTTTGCTCAAAGTAGCAGAAAACCTGTTTCCGTAGTGTATTTTTTAATTTTTCAGTTTTGAACCAACATCAAATGTAATACCAGGGACATAATCTAATGAAAGAAAACCTTTATCGGTATCATTTGTGGAAACAAATATGTTTGTTGTCATTTATTAGGAAAGATTTCCAATTCTCAAGAGATCTCTTCTAAACTTGCTATATCAAGTAATCTGGCAAAACTGAGCTATCAGATTGCGAAGCACCATATTCAACTGGAGCTTCTTATAAATTTGGCAAACATTTTATAAATTCAATGACATCCAACACATGAAATATATGCATTTATTTAACTGTCCAAGTATAAAAAAAGAACACCTCTCGTCAGCTAAATTAGATTTTAAGTTAAATCATGTAGGAATTTTAGTTATAAGTAGTTCATCCTTGTTGGTTTAATTGATATTTATCTAGTAGTGACATTTTAAATTTTCAGATTAATTTATGTTTGTTTTCTACTTGAATAAGTCTGTAGTTAAACACGCTCAAAGAGGAAATTCCAAACTGAATGCATTTTGTGTAGTCATCAATATTCATTTAAAAGTAAAGTCCTCTTTTTTCAGCAACAGAAACTGGCATACTTTTCACATATTAGTTATACGTTTTTTACAATTTGTGAAGTATGACAGGAGTCAGCATTCAAATTACGTCTAATTAACATGGAATCATTCTCATAAATTCTTTCACTATCTCCTCTCATATACTATCACTCATTTATCCTACACAGTTTCGCATACCCGTCTTTAAACATACTGTTTTTGTGTGATGATTGATGAGGTTGAACTAGTAACCAAACCAGGTTAGTAGGATGGTGTTTGAATCTTTGACTAGAGTAGTTGAAAGTCGAACGCTTTAGTAAGTGAGCTACCGGTCCATATCGACGACTTCAACCGTCTCACTACTGTTGTCTCAATTTATTTGTAGCGATTTCTGTCAGTTGCCAGATACAAATAACACTTTCAACTGGGCAATAAACTCTGACATTCAGGCTTTATGATCCTTACCTAAACTTTGTAAAATTTCTTCCGTATAAAATTTAAAATCAGTCATTGGTGGTTAGTTTTGTCAACGTATTTAATGTGTCCAAAATGCCGTCTGCAACGAATAAAATTTATAATATGTCATACAGAATGTTCGTCGAATTCTACCTATTGTTTTTCTACAGTCTTATTTAGCGCCTATGTATATTCCCCTTGGTTTAATGGATATACTACTAGAACATTCTAGTCTTCCTATGCCATTCAGATCAAGTATTAATTTATCATCATCTGGAACTCAGAGTCTGACTTTAACCGATCGATCAGTACGTGGTTTTGTAGCTGGTGCAACCAATCCCTTATTGCAATCAAACAAACAACTAACTGAGGTTTTCGTGTCATCCTTATCGCCTGTTAAGGATATTTGTGAAAAATACTTCCCGCATTTGTTTGAACTAACCGGTGCATTTGGAAAACCGACCTTTGGAATAGAAACAGATTCTATGTCGAGTCTTTCACTGTCTGAAAATTCAACGAAAACTTCTTATTCCATTAATGTCGATAGTGAAAAGAATACACAAAACACGGGATCCAAAGTTTCAAATTTTTCACGACCATTTTCGTTGGTAAGTAATCAGGTGTCGATATATTTGTCTTGGTTTGTATATAATTGAAATAAAATGTTCTTTTTTAATGCTTAGTTGGAGGTTTACACACTTTCATCCACAAGAATGGTTGTCCCATGACTTACTACTGAAGTAATAGTTATACATTCCCAGTAGTATTTCACTGACATAAAAATATCGTTTGTTTTACTTTGTCTTGTCTGCAACACAATAAGTTTTCCGATCTTGACAGTAATCTATCATTATGAGAAGGGTGTTCTTACCAGTATTAGTTTCAGTTATTTAGTTGATAAAAGTCAGCATTTATCCGATAGGCACTACTATATTCCACAATTAACAAGAAATTCTCTTTGAAGTATCATCTTTTAATTCGACTCAGGATCCCTCAGACTTCAAAGTGAACTTAATAGCATCCTGAGCTCTTTGTTCAACAACTTTTACTCACATTTGTGGTCAAGCTTATTTTTACTTATCGTTAATATTTTATTATTATGTATTGTTCTTACATACAATTGTGGTATTCGCTTTTATTTTCATTTCAGCCCAAAAGATCACAACCAATCATTCAAATAAATTCAGAAAACATTACTGATAAGTATCCTGCCAACTCACGCTCTATGCCTGTTCCGCTGAACCGTGCATTGCAACTAAGTCGTACTGATAGATTGTTTATTGATCATTTGGTAATGACTGTCAATACATGGTACAGTGCACAAATAGACTATTGTCAACAATTGTCTTCCAAAAAAGGTGAATTGGTAACATCCCATAGCTTTCATAGATTAGACCAATTGGATACAGAAACTTTGGAACAGCTCACATTAATCCAAAAAACAGCCTTATTAAGATTTCCATGTGAGTATTTATTGTTATCAGCCGAGACTTTCCGTCTTATAATTTTGTTATATGATAATTGTGTCTGCTAATCCAAACTATCCCATTTCCAGTGAGACACTTATTCACTGATGTTCTGCACCTTATGAAGTAATATAATATGACAGAAATCAAAATATTCTAGGTTCAAAATCAGTATACACCGGTGACTGTTGAGTGGCCTTAAATCGGACTCCAATTTGATCATGTGTTGATTGCTGTCGAAGTATACAAGTCGCCAATCCTCGCATATAATCATCGACTTAAATCGCGTTGGTGAATAATGGAAGTAAGTCAAATACGAGAATGGATTTTTGAATACGTATATTTCGTACAATCGTTGATCGAAAAGCCAAGCAAAACGAAATAATGTGCAATGTAGAAGGCGAATGAACCAAATCGATTTAACCAAGCGTGAATCGATATTTACACTCAGATAAAGGTAAGTTACAGACATGTGATGAGTAAGATAAGAAATGCGCGAATAATTAACAAGGTCAAAATGTCACTCAAGAAGAATGAATAAATTGGCCTGTCCGCAAGGTAGAATAAGCTATGTGAGTTTAACATAGTAACCGATACTACAACTGTACTGCCTTTTCACTTGCAAAATTATACGTTATGAGCAGACATTTCTGTAAATAATGCATCCCACAAATTTTTAGTGTTTCACTTAAGATTGAAGAGAATATGAAAGACATTCATCTGTTTAAAGATTGCATATGAATGCTCTCAACTATTTGTTTTTAATCTTTGTCAGTCAGTCAGCTACAACGAAGGACCAGACACATATACGCATCGGTTGAAGTTGCCACACCTCATCAGCACAACAAAATGAACACAGTTCATAGAAGTAGTCACTTCAATGGTGATAATACATAAAAGAAAGAATTAGTTGGTAGAAATAAATATATAAAGTAATTTTAATCCGACGGTTTAAGGGAAGACAAGGAGTATATGCATCGACGCCATTGTGATCGATTTTGGACCATGTCACCCAGAGTCACGCGGACCCCAACCAAGTAGCCTGCATCTGCCAACATGGCTAAGATCAGAAGTTAGTGACTTTGTGGATTGACGCCACGTTTTGGTTTGGCCAACCCTAACTTTTTACCAACCATTTACAACACCAATCAGCATTGCGTGTCGTGAAAGTTGGTAGGTGGGAATACGTAATATATGACTCAACCATCTCAGTTGGTGTAGATTGACGACCTCATCAACTGATTCACCATCATTCCCTAATACTGTGCGTCTAACCTCACTATTACTTACCCAGTAATCCCAGCATATGCGAGCAATTTGAATTCAATTAAACCTTTCTTTTATTTGTCAAAGAGTAATCAATAAATTGTTATTATATATTTAATCTCTCATTTTGTCATCAACTTGATCATGTTTCCTTCATGAATTAATCAAACATTTCATTTAGCTAAATATCAGAGGTTCATGTCTTCATTACTTCTAATGAAACTAATAGGATATAAGTTTTGTTAGCTAAGCTAAAATTGTTCATTTAAATGTTTGTGTGATTTTCTCGTTTAAAAATTTGAAACAGCTATTATCCACGTGAAAATTACTACTTATTTGTTGGCACTCATCAACAACGACTTTTTATCTTTATATATTTTAGTAATAATGACAAATTTTTTTTGTTAATTTGTAGGTATAGTCAGTGTAATACAATAAGGCAGACAGATATATTTATCGTATAATGATGATTTACAGGCTATCACATGATAGCAATTTTGTAGAACAACATGTATCTTAATGTATTCACAGTTGTGCATATAACTATATGTTCTAATCAACATAGGACTTTAGAAAAATATCCATGATCTCGATTTGTCTCACCATATCAGCACAGTGAGATCAAATCAACAAAATGAGGCGAAGTAATTTTAGGGTTCGTGATAAGGTTTAAAATAAAAGGATGTATTCTTAGAGTGAAAAGTTTCAAAACATATTGCAACACCATCCATTTTGATTCATGTTACTGAGTATCTCCAACCAAAAAAGTAAAACTTTGTCACTGAAATAAGTTAGTGCATATTCAATTATAGAGTTATTTTAAGAACTGTAGTCTGTTTAAAATTCACTATAATTACGTAATTGAACTTGACTCTTTTGTACACAGAAATCAGGTTTACAATATTAAATTTTTTCCACTTCAGGTGTGTACAAATTCCTGATCCAAATCTCCTTCAAACCAATAATAAATATATTTTTTGTTATATCCTAATGAGTAGAAAAACTGTATTCATGACGTTTCGTGACTTAATTTGGGCCACTTCTTCAGAGTAAATAAGTGACCGAAATAAATTAACACAATTCTAAATAGTACAATGATTTTAAACAACGATTGTCGTGGTAACATGTGACCATGTGCGAAGGATTGAGCGGTTTATCGATTTCCGTTCTCTCATTAGATATAGCCATACAAAGCAGTTTTGGAATATTTGTTTACCAACTACACACCTTTTACGACTAATGTAAACTGCCCCACAATATCAAGTAAACTGGTAAATGCATCTAATTCATGAAAGTTTCTAAGATAAACTTCCGCTTTGGGCCACCCACACTGTGCATGACCAATTATATATATATATATATATATATATATATATATATATATATATATATATATATATATATTAAAGAATCCCATCATGAAAACTAGAACGACATACGTTGTTAAGTATTAATACTTTTAATGTTATGTAACTTTCTGTACATATATTGTCTTTTTTTTCGTTTTATTTATTTAGCTCAAACTATTTTAGATGCTTGGATACGACAACAGTTTTTAATTTATTTAAGAGCATTATTATTATCTGCTCAAGGTTACAGTAAGTTGCTTCTTTGCAGTTTCTTTTCACTGCTGTATGTTTACAACCTAGGATATAAATTATCAGATAAATTCTTTCTTTTTTTATCGTGAACTAATTGCATAAGTAATCAAGTGGTATGTTCGTGACTTAATTATCATTTCAATCTGTAAGTTCACGAGGTAATATTAACCTTTAAATAAGTGCTTTTCGCGAAACTTATGCAACCTTAATGTTAAACTCTACATGAATATTTTCAGATCGGATATAATCAAGAATGTTTCCAATATTCTTATACAATTGTATCGGTTTTCGCTAACTTTGTATCTTAGTAATGGCGTGCATTTGTCTAGTTTTTTTGTCATAAAGTTAGTAAGCACAGAGTGATATAGTGTTAATAAGATTAGGTGTCAATGTCGCTTATTTACTACCAACAGCTGTGATAATTATGTTCCATCGAATAGCAAAGTGTATTATATTTCTCCAGTTTCCATATCATTTACAAATATAACTGTATATAACCCACCACATTCGCAACTTGCTAATAAATGTACATCGAATGTAATAACCACAGCATAACTTTCGTTCCTTATTACTCCAGCTATCTTCAATGATAATTACTACCATAGTATACGAATAATTTCCTTAATTTTCAAGTCTCGGGATACTTCACGATAAGTTGGTCACCTTAGACCACTGATCCGGCATCCAACGGTGTTAATGTCTAACTTCAAACAATCCACGAAATTGAGCGACACATCCACCATTGTCATCAGTGATCATGATCTCAGCTTCTTAAATTACTGCAATCTCCGCAAAACCCCTGATACTAATCAAATTATGCTCACTAGTGACTGGCTTCAAGAGGTATATCCTGGAGTTCTAGTGAGAAGTAGTGACCAGTAGAGTTCATCCGAGTCAGTTGTGAGATAATAACTCACTGATGACTATGGTGGATGTGTCGCTCAATTTCGTGGATTGTTTGAAGGTAGACATTAACACTGTTGGATGCTAGCTGGTTCAGTGGTCTATTGGTTAAGCGATCGCGCGCGTCACTGATAGGTCGTGGATGCGCACTTCTGAGGAGTCCAATAATAGGACGAAACGGCCGTCCAGTGCTTTCAGATTTTCCATGGTAGTGTAGCTTCAATTGACTCATGATCTCAAACATTATATTTTCGAAAAAGACTATCATTTTTATTATCGAAAGTCTATTTGTTTGAAGTTATTTGTTATAGGTAACTTAAATCTAATCTACTTATAATTTTGCATAATAATAATTCTTTATAGATTCCAATGCATCAGACTTTCAGTCAGCCTATTTAACTTGTTTTCGTTTAACAAGAAATTTTTTAATTTGGCGTTATCAATTTATTCCAAGTCAATTGTTTACTGTTTCTAAACCAGAACAAATTCATCATAATACTTCTGACACCCAATTAATCAACAAACCAATAGATGATAATGTGGAAATTTTAAAAACAACTGGAGATTCATATGTAGGTTTCTGTTTGTTTTAATTTTTTTCTTTATTGTTGACTGAAATATTTTCAAGTTTTATATTACCTTCTTCGTCTTCTGATAGAATATATACTGCAAACTTTATCATCATTTCAGTCAGTCAGTAACGACATATTATCTTATTAACCTGATCCAATCAAAGTATTGATTACGTCATTTCAGCTATTTGTCTAGATTTACTTACTTACGCCTGTTACTCCCAATGGAGCATAGGCCGCTGACCAGCATTCTCCAACCCACTCTGTCCTGGGCCTTCTTTTCTAGTTCCATCCAATTCTTGTTCATTTTTCTCATGTCTGTTTCCATTTCTCGGCGTAATGTGTTCTTTGGTCTTCCTCTTTTCCTTTGGCCTTCAGGATTCCATGTGAGGGCTTGTCTTGTGACGCAGTTGGGTGCTTTCCTCAATGTGTGTCCTATCCACTTCCAGCGCTTCTTCCTGATTTCTTCCTCCGCTGGGATCTGGTTTGTTCTCTCCCACAGTACGTTGTTGCTAATAGTGTCCGGCCAATGGATCTGAAGTATTTTGCGTAGACAACTGTTAATAAACACCTGTATTTTCTGGATGATGGCTTTCGTAGTTCTCCAGGTTTCTGCCCCATACAGTAGAACTGTCTTGACATTTGTATTGAAAATCCTGACCTTGGTGTTGGTTGACAGTTGCTTTGAGTTCCAGATGTTCCTCAGTTGTAAATATGCTGCTCTTGCTTTGCCGATCCGCGCCTTCACATCTGCATCAGATCCACCCTGTTCATCAATGATGCTGCCCAAATACGTAAAGGTTTTTACATCTTCCAAATCTTCTCCGTCAATTGTGATTGGATTGGTGCATTCTGTGTTGTATCGGAGAATCCTGCTTTTCCCTTTGTGTATATTGAGACCTACTGCTGCTGAGGCTGCTGCCACACTGTTCGTCTTCTCCTGCATCTGTTGTTGCGTTTGGGATAGAAGGGCCAGATCATCTGCGAAGTCTAGATCGTCCAACTGCATCCTAGATGTCCATTGTATCCCGTGCTTCCCTTCAGACGTTGACGTCTTCATGATCCAGTCGATCACCAGGAGAAAGAGAAAGGGTGAGAGTAAGCAACCTTGCCTGACACCGGTCTTCACTTCGAACGACTTTGTCAACTGTCCTCCATGCACAATTTTGCAGTGTAATCCATCATATGAATTCTGTATGATATTGACTATCTTCTGAGGCACGCCGTAGTGTCGAAGAAGTTTCCATAGTGTTGTTCTGTCCACGCTATCAAATGCCTTTTCGTAGTCAATGAAGTTGATGTAGAGTGATGAATTCCATTCAATTGATTGTTCCACAATGATCCGTAGAGTTGCGATTTGGTCTGTACACGATCTATCCTTACGGAATCCTGCCTGTTGGTCACGAAGTTGGGCGTCTACGCAGTCCTTCATCCTGTTTAACAATACCCTGTTGAAGACTTTTCCCGGTATTGAGAGAAGAGTGATGCCCCTGTAGTTATCACAGTTGCTGAGATCGCCTTTCTTCGGTATTTTGATCAGAAGTCCTTCTTTCCAGTCTGTTGGTACTTGTTCCTCATCCCAAATCTTATTGAAGAGAATGTGGAGTATCCTTGCAGTTGCCGCTACGTCTGCTTTTAGTGCCTCTGCTGGATGTTGTCCGGTCCTGCTGCTTTGCCACTCTTGATTTGTCTGATGGCCATGCTGATTTCTTCAATTGTTGGTGGGCCAACATTGATTGGGAGGTCCGTGGGTGCTGCTTCGATGTTGGGTGGGTTCAGTGGAGCTGGTCGATTCAAGAGTTCTTTGAAGTGTTCTACCCACCTGTTTTGTTGCTCTTCAATGTTGGTGATTACCTCGCCTTCCTTGCTTTTCACTGGTCGTTCTGGTTTGCGGCGATTTCCAGAGAGTTTCTTTGTCGTGTCATACAATTGTCTCATGTTTCCTTCTCTTGCAGCCTTTTCCGCCGTCGTTGCTAAATCTTCCACATATTTACGTTTGTCGGTTCTGATGCTCCTCTTCACTTGTTTGTTTACTTCTGTGTATTCAGCTTGTGCCTTGGCTTTTTCTGCTCTTGTTCGACTGGTATTGATTGCTGCCTTCTTGTTCCTCCTTTCTTGAATCTTATCCAGTGTATCAACAGTGATCCATTCCTTGTGATGGTGCTTCTTGTGACCCAGGACCTCATGACATGTTGAAGTGATTGCCTCTTTGATCCCCTTCCAGTTGCTCTCCACAGTAGTTCCTTCTCCATTGAGTAGATCATGAAAGGCCTGGAACTTGTTGCTGAGGACTATCTTGAATTTGTTGAGTTTGTTAGTATCCTGAAGAAAGGCCGTATTGAACTTTTGTGATATTGTCCGCCCCGTTGTCCAGTGCTTCTTGAGTTTCAATTTCATCTTGGCGACCAGCAAGTGATGATCTGATGCTATATCAGCTCCTCTCTTGGTTCTCACGTCCTCTATAGTCCTCCTGAACGTTTTGTTGATGCAAATATGGTCGATTTGGTTTTGCGTGGTGTGATCCGGTGAAGTCCATGTGGTTTTGTGTATGCGTTTATGTGGGAATATGGTGCCGCCTATGACCAGCTTATTGAAGGCACATAGATTTGCAAATCTCTCACCATTTTCGTTTCTTTCTCCCAGTCCGTGTCGTCCCATGATGTCTTCATATCCAGTGTTGTCCGTTCCAACCTTGGCGTTGAAATCTCCCATCAGAATGGTCAGGTCCTTTGTTGGGCACTTCTCGACGATTGACTGCAGCCTATTGTAGAATTGATCTTTAGCGTCTTCATTGTAGTCGTTGGTAGGCGCATAGCATTGGATGATGTTCATTGAAATGCCCTCTTTCTTTGTTTTGAACGAGGCTTTGATGATCCTTGGTCCATGAGATTCCCATCCTATAAGTGCATTTTGCGCTTGTTTGGACAGCATCAATGCAACTCCTTGTGTATGTGGTGCATTTTCTTCTTCATGGCCGGAGTATAACAGGAGCTCTCCTGTAGTTAGTCGTTGTTGTCCAACTTGTGTCCAATGTGTTTCACTGATCCCAAGTACCTCTAGGTTGTATCTTCTCATTTCTGCAGCAATTTGGAAGGCTCTTCCGGTGTCCCACATTGTACGAACATTCCATGTACCTAAATAAATGGTCGCTCTGGTTGTCAGAAGGGGCATCGGCCTCGTAACTTCCGAAGGAATTCGGCTTTCATCATGAGGCGTCATAATTCTTCTAAATGAAGACCTTCTGACTCCCAGGGCAGAGTTTAAAAGGTTTGAATAATTTTTTCTGGTTAGCGTTTTTTTAGCGAGTTAGTTTTCTACGGGATGGGGACGCTAACCCCATGCCCAACCCTCCTCCTTTATCCGGGCTTAGGACCGGCAGTAGCCCCCCGAGGGACCCCAGGCGGAGTTATTTGTGTAGATTTGCTTACTTTTATTAATCTATATGGTTGTATTAATTTTCATTAGCTGGTCAAATTTCATGATTATTTTAAGGATTGTTGAACGTATTTTCTTTTAGTTTTGTGTTGCTTGGTATGTACTTAACATCATTTTATGTAAAGAAAATATTTGAACTTGGAAATAATGACTAATCCTTGTGTTTGTGTGTGTGTGTGTAAGATCATCAAGTATTTCGTATGAAAGCATATTGTTAATGAAATCCAACTTTATGTTTAAGGATTTTATATGTTATTAATGCTTTTGGTTGCTGAAAGTTTTCGTAAATTGGATAAAGGTAATAATAATAAATATTGTATTCAATGCTCATTAGGTTGAGATTACATGGTGGTTGGAGGTAGTCGACAGGAAACCCTGGACCCAGGTTTCGTGCTACTTGGCACTCGTCAGTAAAGTGTACCTGTAATCTTGAGGGAACTGATGCTCCCTGGCGGACTCAATCTCGTGTCACCCAGCTTCGCAGTCAGAGACGTTACCACTGAGCTATCCGAGCCGCGACCGACCTCCTGTAGGATTGGGATGTAATCACAATTGATTGATTGCCACCCAGTGATTAATCAATTGTGCTCATTAGGTTCGAACCAGATATTCTCCAGTTTCTCAACCAATAGTAAATCATTTTTACTCAACGAGTGATTTTATGTCATCCTCATTAAAATAAACAAATTAGCTTTATGTGGATTATACATTTACGAATATACCGAATAGGTAGTTTTTTTCAATTCAGCTTACATTTCCTAGTCGTTATCAATATTTATATTCGAATTATAAATTATAGATGACAAACTATTTGTTAAATGATTTGGTCTTATCTATAAATCGTTGTAATAGATCTGTCTTCTTCCTTCCTTATATTTTAAACGATACGTAATGTTACTGAATAATCATTTATTAGACTATTGATAATGCACCTGTGTCAGATGAATCTTTCTAGATTCATCATCTAGTTTTTAGCAACATATTAATAATAATGGGTTTTCATTACTGTTTTCACTACCGAACTCCATATTTCAATAGGTTATGATGAAGTATTCATAACTTAGTCTAGTTGGTTCCTTCTCTGAGTGACACTTGATACTTCTACCTCTCTCATGTAACTAGCTATTAGCCTTGTGATTTTGTAGTCATGGGAATAAATACATTCTATGGAATCCTATAAGGTGCACAATAAAACATTTCTGCTGATGTATAATAACATTCTGCTTTTGATTTGTAAATTGTAAGTAGGCTACGAGTTTGTCAGCACTAATACTATTTCAGAAAACATTAGCTAAGCTTAAGCTACGTTTATTTTTTTTACAAACGAATTCGGTTACTTTTTCAAACATCGACACCTCCCAGCAATTGGAGACTACCATGTCAAATGATGTTAATTTTATGTATTATTACTAATATCATGTACCTACAATAGTTTGATAAAGAATTTTCCCGACATGAACGCTACGTTGGAATCGCAATGCTATGATACCACTGTATTCTGACCCAACTTAAGCAAAGTGACATGACTGTACACAATTTATAGTTGGAAAATATGAACAAAACTTCTTTTTAAACGTCATTAATTGTAGTACGCAGGTTTGATTAGAATTGAGACCCAAACACTAAACTCATTGATTTTCCACTATACCGACATCATATTGGATAAAGAAAGTTAAATGCTTCATATGGAAGAATTTCTATAGTTTATAAGGATTTAAAACTGACACGAATATTTGGTATTTCAGTTATTGTTCTGTTGTAAATCCGAGCATGTAACCAAATAAACAAACTTTATTTGAAAATTATGTGTAGTAAGACTCACAGATTCACTAAAATCTAGAAAGTTATAATATAGTTAACATAAATACATCATTATATATGGACACTGTAATAATAAAGCCACCCAACATTTCAATAAATTTCTTTTTTGTTTTTTTTGTTTTGTTCCAGAATTCACAGTTGCAGGACTCATGTAAAACTTCACCAGACTCTGTTGCTGCTGTAGTCTCGCAACATCCTGGACGTAAACTTGCAGAACCTGATGATTGGATTCAAATTGCTGGTAGTTTTAAAAAGTTTGTCTGCCTTATATCTATCATTTAAACATTTTATCAAATGAAATTTTAATGTTGATATGCATTTTAGAGGTCATTCAGCAATATTTTCTAATAGTGTGCATATAATAAACACTATTATGAAAATCTGATTATAGTTAGAATTAACTCAAATTTAATTTTGATCAATTGGAATCCATAACTTTAGTTCTTGATAGTATTCTTCGATACAACACTTCCATATGAATTATAAACGATAGTGAAAAAAGGACTAACAAAACAAGTAATGTCACATTCTGTGGTCGTCCATCCAGATAAAAATATACGCGCTTCCTATACTTCAGTTCAATCTTTTATGGGAGTGAGTAGAATAGAAATCGGCCAATGAACAAAAATGCATGCAGGCAATAATATGCGGATATATATATATATATATATATATATATATATATATATATATATAATAGACTTCTTCCAATTGTGTATTGTCTTTGCTATCTCCTACCAGGCGCTTGGCCTTGAGATGGCATATGAACACAAGCGCATGGTATGTTTAATCTTGCTCAGCCTATTACCTCTCCCTCCTGGAAAGCAGACCTTCCCCCCTGCGGTTCAGCTGCTTGAGTTAAGGTAAGGATACTTCAATTAGGCAAGTTGTCATTTTTTTCAGACTTATATTACAAAGAGAAATTTATGAACATAAAGGGCCCACTTACAGAACATGTCTTTGCGACTGACTTTAAAATAACTTGGATTATCCCGTTGTTAATATTTTGACTGAAATTTGATCAACTTTGGTTCGCATTTGAGGATCCTGTGTGGATTACCTCAATTTAGCCATTATGACCCAAGTTAATATAGAATAGTTGGAATGTGGGTTCCATCCCTAGCCACATCCCATTTATTGTATATTAACGTGTGTTTTTGCATTTTAACCCTTTATTACCTCAATTCGTGAAATAGGTTGGTATATATGAAATACACCGAATGGCTTTATTTCACTATTATCTTCACATTTGATTGCCTTAGATTTGTAGATGACTTCATTGGTCGTAAGTAGTTATATTACTTATATTTAGTTAATGAACTTTGGAAATTTCACATCAATGAGCTCACTGAAACTGCAGACAGAAGTAAACCGCTGTTTATGTCTCTCTTTTTTCTAATGTTTCTCCAATTAGTGTGTCAGTACATAATAGATACCGTCTTTCAAACGAACTAATCTCCATAATATTCCTACTCAAATTGATAATAACTAACTAACTACCTGGTACACAAGCATTGAAACTCTTCAGTTAAACGAAACAATTTGCCTACCATTCGGTATTATCTTTTCGAGAATCCGAAATGGGTTTTAAAGTTTTTTTATCACTTTCTTAGTTGAAACTTCACATAACTTCAAATTATAAAATATATTTGTAAATTCATTTCAATTTCTCATTACATAGGTTGAGCAACATGGCTGCTGATCAAGGTCGGAGACTTGTCAGTCAAAGTGTTGCTGGTCTTGTGAAATTCGGCAGTAAGTATTTAATATTTTCGGTTGCAATCAAAGTTAAATTATAAATAAGTACAGTCAGTCATTGCCAACGTATATCATGACGAAGATATAATTTATCCTGTTTCCATAATGCATTAGCTCGACAAAACGATAATAGCACAATACATAACAAAAGCAATTTAAATAATGTAGTGGCAGTGATGATAAGAAAGACTTAATATTGGTAATGTTTTTCAGAAAGACAGAGTGGAAAGTATGAATGAAAAAATTCTTGAATTCGCAGTCTTAATAAAGATAAAGTGAGTAACTTCATCTAGAAAGAACTGTTGTAAAGACCACTCAGTGAAAAAACTGAGAAGACATGAAAATGCGAAATAGCCCGTAATATATAGATCTCAGTGAACATGTAGAATTATTAAACCCTTTGGTAGTAGATGGGTGTTTTTATCCCCATTATGTGACTTTAAAACGGATGCACCCCGCTATCCTACCGAACAATTGCCCAGTCCCATCTTTAATAATTCTATACTACCATACTGTTGAATTTCACATAGGACTAATTCAATTATCAGCTAGTATGAGAACTAAATACTGGGTTCGCAAAAGGCGGTTATCAAGTTTATTGAATGTAGAAGAAATACTTGCTTGTAGCAGTCGAGACTGTCAGCTATCGTGAGCTGGAATTCAGTGAAGTATAAATACCCATTCAGGCATGTTCGAATAGACTCATTTGGTCTGTTTATCGCTAAAAGAGGAAGGAGCTCTCGTAAAAAAATTATGGTTGTCTGTTTACTTGTTTCTAAGTATACTATAAACATCCATTCATATATGTACTCTCGATTTTCAGATTTACGATTAACAAAAAAATTTAGCCTAGAAATCTTATTTCCTTGGGTGTAAAATCTTGGAACCGTATGTTACATAACTTATTCTTGCTATGTCTTTAGGTCGTGCACCTGATTTCTACAGATTTTGCCATCGTAATTCACCTAGAAATTTCAGCAGTACTAAAACGTCGAATAAAGATGGCCCACAATTCGATATATACCAATTTCATTCAAACAGGTTTTGAAATTGTACACATTAATGACTGATTTAAAGGTTAATGTTTAAATTTGTAGAATTCTTAAGTCTTAAGTACAAATCAAAATCCGGACAACTTGTTCGTTTTCGCTGATTGACATAGCTCTCACAGTTTTCATCAGAGCGTAAGTGAATAAAGTGGATAATGGTTCCTTTGTGCACCGATATCCTAGGAAAATCAGACAAGTATTATGACGTCTCAAAGTTATATGGTAAGCCAGATCCAGAAGTCGTGAATACATAGGTCATTCGCCTATCGAATTCGTTCCGTCTGTCTTTGAGTATACAGGTACTGTATGTTCGTTCGATATTTGATTTCTCCTATGTAGCTGTGCTGTTCAAACGTTAACCATTGTGTCATGACAATGACCTTTAAAAGTTGATGTAAGGCTTTAAAAGTAGTTTTCAAGACTATTGAAGTTGGACAGCTTCTCTACTTTACAATTATCATAAACCAAAATGAAGTTAGAAAATACACGTTTCGTTATTTTCGGGGAAAGCATTCTTAAGTGAATGGTGCAGACTGTCTTCAAACACCTATTTTTATGCTCACGTGTTCACTTATTGCACTAATTTCCTATACACGTGATTAGAATGTCCTTATCACACACTTTTATTATGATATTGATTCCTTACACAATCAACTAGGTTTATTTCCTCTAATTACTAGGTGATTTCAACTCGACATTTCGTTCATCTTTGCCATCAAGTTTTGTTTGGAAATTCTCAGATGCTCTTAAATCAGTTGTTTCAAATCCCATATCAATTAGTTCTCCAATTCTACCACTTGAAACCACAGGTACCAAAGGTGAATCAGTTTCTCCAGAAATCAATGTTCCGAAAACTCAGATACCAGATAATAAAATTTACTTTTAATACTCAATGTTGTTCAGTGTTGTAGCTGTGATATTTATTGTGATATATTTTACTTCACAATGAAGTCCTTCTTTTAATCATATTTTATATCAAGCTTTATCAATCTCATGTTTTATTATTCCCCATTTTTATGCATCGTTTTATTCTTGTGGTCGTAAATGCATTTGTATGAACGCAATCTTGTTGTCTGATTCTTTTACGTCCAGAGTTTTGTTGTACTGATGTTATATTTTGCAATAAACATTTGTGTAATATAATAACTTCTCAATAACCTTAAGTTACTTGAAACACGGGAATTTACAGACAAGATCAAATTGTTACAAATGTTGCGTTATTTATTACGTTAAACTTGTTTGTCTATCTATGGTGGATTATAACTTGAATGCAGAAGCAGGATAACAAAATGTTCATGCATAAACAGATGATTGCTGAATTAAAACCGGGTTATACACTGTGGAAGATGATGTGTCATATGGATGCTGCTCTACACCAACTCAAGGTTGCAGCGTAGAGTGATTGACTATTTCGAACATGTATTTGCCAGCTAAAGGCGGTCTCTAATCGTTGCATTTGTATATTTGGTCCCGCTTTGTTAGAAATACTCGTATTGCATATTTATTATTCGTCTTCGTGTCTGGTAGACTGTTTTTTGCTAAAGAAACCTTTGATTGTTTAGGAGAAGCTGTTATTTTTGAGGTATTTCGTAATTCTCATCTAATTTAGCTTTGCCAAATTGGAACCAACCAAATCAAATACAAAGTTAGTGTCTTATTGAATGCATTTTGGCTCGTTAGTCCTTTTTGTTCAAAGTGAATAAGAGGATTTCGGCCGTTACGAGTGATCTTTTAAAGGCAATTAATAGTGTATTTCAATATGCTCTGAGTCTTTACTCCATTTTCCCCTCGAAATCTAATTTTAACAAGTAAGTATAGTGTATAGCGTTTTTCCAACATATTCATTTCACAAAAGTGGAAGCACAGACCATCTCTGACGAACTAGACGTCCGTTCGCCAAGGTTTATTTCTAACATATTATTAGTGACCTCAGACTTTTCGTTATATTCAAAATATCTTGTTTAACAGTAATTAGTTGTTCTTGAATAATCCAGTCCTTTGTCGTTGACTAAAATTGTTATTTAACAGTTCCCAGGGATATAACTAGTAATGATTTGAACTTCATTAACTTGAATTAAATGGAGTCGTTTGCTCCAACTTTTTAAGTGTTTCATCTAGTTTGGTTGAGTTATCTGCATTGATGAGTTCTGTTACTTAATGCAACTTGTTCTGAACTAGTTCAGTCCCGTGTGGCTGACTGCACTGTAGTCGGTGACATCAAAGGTATCAAATATAGAATTGACAATGTTGTATATACGTACTCTCTTTAAAAACATGTTAATTGCAGACACTGGAAGTTAAACCTTTCAATTAACATTCTCAGTTACTTGGACTTGCACTTGTGTGATGGCCTGGTTTCTACCCTCGTTCATTTATCCTCATCATGGTTTCATTCCTCAGCTTCAATATCTTCACCTTTGCATTTCTGGCTGTTCATGCAGTCTGTGATTGGAGCTGAAATGCAGCAAAATTATCTAATGAAACCAACATCGTTATTTGAAATTATTATTGCTTCATAAAGTTATTGTAATTTGTTTGTTACCGAGTGAGCATTTGTCTATACAAATGACAGCTATTCTTTGTCGTTTGTCATTTATTTCATTACTTACAAATGTTTTATGGTTAATTATGTGTTACTTCAGGTACACGCCATTTTTACAGGCATGATCTATAAATTACAACATTTGTTGGTGCACAGCATGCTTCTCAACTTATTATGTTTATAGTTGTTATAAATTAGACTCGTAGAGCGCTTGCTGTGAACAATGACCTTGAGGAGACTGGTTTGAATGGACTAATGATACCTTTTTACTTGTTGAATGCTTGATTTTGAATTCTAAATACAATAAATTCGTTCATGCTTGTCCAGTACTTCTTGATTCAATTGCGTTAATTCTGGGATTCCTAGCTCATAATATAATTCAAATAATTCGACACATTATAGACGTGTACGTCAAGTTTGTTCCAGACGTCAGACGTTTCATAACTGTGCACTCAGAGCAAGTTTCTGAAGAAGAAAAAAAGGAAACAAAAGATCAGCAAGGCACTTGGATATGAACGCCAAAGGTTTCTTAACATTGTATAGTAGAACGGACAGAGGTATAATAAATTAGATTAAATTCATATTATCTCTTGTAAGAGTGAAATGAAGTCAGAGGCTCCATATAAGAGAATGTAGTAATAAAGAACAATTAGTTGTGTCGTTTACCAAGTTGGAGTAAGCTCACATGAAGGGAGGGAAGTCAAGTATAGTTTGCCAATCAGAGTATAAGCATTAAGAAGGGTATAATGTAGGATGGTTGTTTATTAAAGCAGGCGGAAAAGTATATGAGTTGTAGATAAGGTAACGAGTGGAGAAATAATATTAATTGCTAGTCAACATAGTGTGCAGAAGAGTAAAAAGTTAATACAGGATAAACAGGTAGAAATTCACAGTAACTTGGTGCTGATGATATTTTGATTTGTCCTAACCAGTTGATTGGTAACAGGATCCATAGATGCAAGACCACAGGTGGTAGGCAATCGATTATGCGGTCCTCTTGACATTCTGAGAATGGTAGTGAGTGTCCCTTAGCGACCGAGCTTAGTTGAACAGTATCAATAGGTCCGGTGAGTTACCCTCCAACTTCAAGTGAGGAAACAGGGTGGAAAAAGTAACTAATACAACTGCATAGTAGGAAAAATAAGGCAAACTGTTTCGATTCTAATTTTCTTGGCAGCTTGAAATGTAACTGGAAACGGTTTTCGATCCTGTTCAGTTTTATTTTGAAGAATGATACTAAGATCAGCGCCAGTATCTATCAAGCCGTTCAACCCAGAGTTTCTGTCACTAACATAAAACAAGCGACTGTTTAAGCACTCTTGCTCAATTGTCACGACCTTGGGACAGGGTAACTCGTATTCCGTATTGTTGGGATTATTTTAGGCCAGGCGGATGGTTGCATGCACTTGGTTGGGTTGGCACCAAACTACCAGTGATACCAACAAAACTCCCACGATTGTCTGGACATTTGTGACCTGTTTTGTGACTTGGGTCTTGGTCGTTGTGATAACCTGATCCTGTTTCTGTGATCCGCTTGCATTCTGGCGACAGCTTCAGAGAGAATTTTGAAACTCGCAATGAGTCCTTCTATGACTGGGTCTTTTGCTGGTTCTTCTTTTTGTGTGTGGTTTGTTGTGCGTGATCTAGTTAGTAGACCTCTTTCCATTATTCTGTCGGCTATGCGCACTAAATGAGATAGGGTTTCAGGATCTTGTGCATGCAAACAATGTTGGACGCAGCATGGAAGTGCTTTTATCCATCTCCGTCTTAGGACTGCTTCACCCACTGTGTTATCACCAACTAAGACTTAGAGTTGACGTAAAAACTGTGACGGCGACTGATCACCTAATGTTCCTCCTTGGAAAAACCTTTGGATTCTTTGACTGCCTGATAACGATAAATGGTTCATTATCCCTCGTCTTAAGATAGTGTATGGTTGCGGTGATGGTAAGCTTAAAATCAAGTCACGGACATTTTGGCGGCTGAAGCAGGAAACATAGGACACATGTCTCTATAGCGAATTCCTTCAGATTTTATATTGTGTCTCGTGAAATAACGCTCTAGTTGAGCAAACCACAAGGCAGGGTCGCTACGATCAAATTCTGGACGTCAGGATTTCGTAGTCATAACAGTGTCTATCTCCACTGGTGACAAATCCTCCAGGCTTTGGTTTTGTATTGAGTCTGATATGAGGCATATGACAAATATAGTAATAAAATTAGCATGAAAAATGGTCACTACAACACGAATACCTGAAGATAAAAAAACCTGTGCATAAATATATATACCAAACTTAGGTTACGGATAATCAGAAGGTCTTCTTTTACGACCAAGTAAAATAAATACATTTTTTCAATAAAAAAATGAAACCTCATTTGTGTTTCACAGGGCTCACTAGTTTCGTGCCAGTAGGTAACCCTAGTGCAATTGATAGGAGAAACTAGACTAGTAGTGATTAGGTCTTTATTTAGATCTCTGCACAGTCACAGTGGGGAATGGGATTACCTGTTCAGACAAACAAAGCCTCTCAACATTCAATATAAGATAATAGGAAATATAACGTCTATACAAAATAAGGAATGGAATGAATGCTTGAACTATACTGTTATAACATATGCTTAGTTGTTTAAGGTCAACTCTTAACTAATCAACATAAGCTGTTACAAACCTTCCACTTACCACAAATTCAGGAACACATAAACTTCAATTTCGTTTGACAGAACTGGTAAATCCTAGTTCTCTTGAATCCAGTACTTTAGTTTGTCCTAGGTAATTGCATTATCAATGCATATTCGGCTAATGAACTATAAAATTCTGGATTAACTGGTAATAAAAAATCTTTTTGACCTTTGTTTGATTTTATGACTAGTGCCTAATGACAACCAAATATTTTATGACATGAAAGTAATCGAGATTTCTCAGCTCGACCATGCGTGCGTGGTCACTCTTTTTGAATCAAATATAATATTCTCTTCCTTGTCTAAACGTGTTCTTCAGAAGTGATAGATGTCATTTTGCTGATTATCACATTAGGACGATTCAGTAAGGATTGTGATGTGATTTCTAAGTAAAATACATTGGGTTAAGTATTCACATGCTGACGAACCCACAAATTTCGGATTGCGTCTATTACCAACGCATCAAAGATAGATGTGCCAATGCCTAATCAGACTATTTTTTATCAACACACTGCCAGTATATATAGCTGATAGTCTTATGTCAAATGAGTTTGTTCCACATTTGTGATATAATATTCATGTCACTGGACATAGAAAACTTTCAGTCACAAAGATTAATGGTCGAACAGAAATTGAAATATACGAATGATTTCAACTCACATAGATCGTTTGTTTTTAATATCACATTGACGTTTGGGACTGCGATAAATCAATTTTCCTTTCACATATATTTCCCTCCTGTGCGGATGAATTCGATTCTACTAGCAGTCATAGTGTGTCTATGTTTGCAATATTGATTATTAAATCGATAAAGTTAGTTCATACTTATGTCTTCTAAATTCATATATAACACATAAATTATTATTTTCTTAGAAGCAATAGTCTTTAACCATCACGCTTCTATGACCGAATACTTCTATTGATTCAGCAAACATCCTTATCTTTAAAATAGAACCCAGAGGTGGGGCTGCTTACTTAAGTGATCCTAAGTCGAAGACATATCACGTAGTAATCTGGAAACGCGATGAATTCGGACTCGTAATTTACTGATCGTATAGTATCATAGAGCATCTGAAATAACATTCAAGGTTTAGTAGCGCTACAAAACAAAGTGCTTTGTGTAAACCTTATGTCCTCTAAGTTGGAACGACAACGCTTCCTTAAGAATTCTTTCTAATGAAAATTGTATAGGATCAGTTTCGCTTTCGACTTGCTTTCATATGCAACAAGTATGTCATTGCATATCAAACATCCACAGGCAATTCATTTAATAAATATGTTAGCGAAACTGTCGCGGATTCAAAGCACAAAATTCAGAATCATTAGTTGCTCCACTTTCAAGGTCATTATAGTCAAAGCCTAACCCGCATTGTTCAAACTGTGTAAAATGTAGATGAAAATGAGTTTTCGAGAAAAAACAGGTTTACATAGCGCTCAGGCGTTTTTACATAGGTAGGAAATTCAGTCGTCTTTCGAATAAGTCTTTAGATCGAAATCTTTGTATGATGGGACTAAGTCAACGATGCGCTTGTCGAACATCACAGCAAAATTGCGAACGGTATCTGCAACATTGACAAACACAAATCCTTTCAGTTCTAAGTCACAGGAAAATAGTATAGCTGAAGAGAACGCAAATGATAGTAAGTTTTGGTTTTAAAATAACTGGTTGCAACATATTTTACACATATGTGCATATTATATAAGATGCATAGAATAATATGATAGGATGTTTTATGTTATATTTTGGTGGGTTCTGAACTAATTTCGGTCTTGACTTTTGCACACCATTCCGATGTTCTGCTAATTTTCCATGTGGGCGTTTTAAAGTCTTACTTTGTACTTCAATGTACGTGTGCTTAAAGACATGTATTTTACCGGTTACTCTTATTTATATGCAAAATCACTACTTCTATATGTTTCATGACTTGTGCGTAGTTTCAAAAATTTAATAACACTGAGGAATGTGTGTTCTTCTGAAAAACTCAGAACTTTCAGTAATCCAACAGGTTTTACCAAACGTACTAAATTGGAACTTTATACGTTCTTTTTTTCCACTATGGTATATGTAACGCACAAGTTTAAAGACTGTATAAAATAACGTTCGCTATACAGTTAAACAATCAACAACGTCTTTATTTTAACCAGTTTCTATAAGAAGGACTATTTATAAAGTCAGATCAGTAAGACTATAATTTATGGACGACCTTTGAGAGACGCTAAAGTGATCCTGAGAACGGATACCTGTTAATTAGGACAAAATGAGAGCTATAAAACAGTTATAATTATGGTTTACGGTTGGTGGTTAAGGTTGAAAATTAGGTTTATGGTTTTCGCCACGAACTGACATCAGCTATAATGTCAAAACTATTTAGCCAAATGGATGAATGAATTTCGCTCTATAATTTATTACTCCTTATCTTATATCTGATTGGTTCATGCCGTCAGATTTATTGGTATTTAAATACAGTGCGTAACTGGTTTTTAGATAACCATAAATTTCCATTGATATAAAATTCGAACAAAAAATTTACTACACTTCAAGTGTTTCATGATGGATGACTCGGTTCCTCTTCCTGGATAAGTCAGAAAGTTTTCTTCATTATTACGAGAGCCACTCATCATAATAGCTTCTTCCCTTAAACCAAAAAATTGAGTGAAAAACTATCATGTAATCGGACCTCTTAAGAATTGCTTTTACTACATATGATACCCAAATAATTATACGTGGCACTGTCAGATCCTCAAAGTCCTAAAACTTTGTAAAGAAAAGCTACCCAGTTGTGAGCGTTTTGCACCTATGTAGATGATTGAGCGCACAGTTTATCAGTAAGCCATATAAGACAATTCTCTAGAGGTAAAATAAGCAAGCAATATCATTTCTCCTCATCATAAACACTTAACACATTTTACATAGCCTCAAGAAGTATAGGTACAGACTTAATATTCTGTTTCTCATCCTACAGACAAAAGTAATACACTACAAAATAGAACCTAATTAACTTAACTGCGTTAGATAACAGTTAACGTCAGACATAGTTATCAATAAAACAAAATATGACAGTGACAACTTCAGTATGAGCAGACACATTCACAACTGAATAAACCAAACACGTCAATTCATTTCCTAAATACACATGATATGGTTCACACTATTCCACTGCATACTTCCAACACAAATACACAAATATCGGTTTCCAAATGGTATCGAACAACCAGAAAAATTCAATTATCTAATCACAACAGCATAATCAATTACCTGACAAATGAAATTACATACTTCTGACTTATTAACTATTCATTATGTTGGAAATCAATACTGACCAACACATGATTATTGGAACACTGACATGTTCTCAAGTTTAATTAGTAATAATTCGTTGCAGAAAATTCTAAACACAATTAATTTGAATAACTTTGTACTTAGAAGACAAATTATTTCACAAAATCCACTACGGATAATTTGTTTCAAAATATATAATCTCATAAGTAGTCAGGCGAACACACTTGAACTGAACTTTCCATAATCTTAAGAAACCGTGAATAAGATTGCCAGATTCGTGTTGGTGGTTAAGTTCATGGTCAACTATTTCTGATTGGATAACAGGGATGAGATTCACTGATATATGAGTACAGCTTCTAGTCGAATTTATTCGTTTAGTTACAAACCACTACTGGACAGTAAACTACGAATACATCTTTTGTTTTCATCAGCGAACTCATTGATTGTCCGTATTCAAACCTCTAAATACACATAGTTGTTATATGTCGAGCAGCGTGATGAGTAGATTAGTTGCAGAGTTAAGAGTGAATCTCTGTCACGAGTCGTTTCAGTTCATGTCACTTGTTATGTGTAAACCATACAGAACACAGAATTACGATGTAGATCGAGACCATGATTGTAGCAAATCCAGTGCAGTTATCTTCCACATTTCTTTGTACAACAAGTCACCTCATCTCCTTTTACATACCTAAACGAGATCAAGACAGTTTTCACGACAATGGAAATAAATTTCAATGTCACTCGAGTCATCCGATATCTCTTGTATGCCTTCTTTGAAATAATTGACGGTAGTTGATGCCGAGGACTATAAGTTTCGTAACATTCTTCACTGGGTATTTCGTATCATTCATTCCGTATTTGACATATTACTTGTCCAAATCATGTTTTGAGATAATTAACTTGACATGTAGTGCCACAAATTCCTACAGTTTCTACTAGTAGCCTTGTGAAAACTTTCCACAATTATATAAATTCTCCATAGCATGTTTACTCATTAAGCATACAGGCATGGACGAGTAATAGCAATAATAATAACAATCATATGTACTAAATGAATTCTCCCTATTGTCGATACCATCAACATTTATTCAAATATTCGGTAATATTTCTAGTTTATATGTTGGAAAATGTACACTCATTCGTGGTGAAATAGTGAAAAACAAAAGTCTGAAGTTATTCAGTGACAGTAGTCACTTGACTTTTCAACTGAATTCATAATTAAACAGTTTATACCACTACTTGTTAGTGCATTTTTAATAGCTTCATTGAAATCAAGAAAAACATATTCACGTCAAATAAGAACTTTCGTCTAAATTTGAACGAATAGTTTCACAATATTTGGGCGCCGAGTTAATTTGAGACATTAAAAAGAAAAATATATTTGCAAAGTCTCAGCGAATGAATTTTAAGTAAATTCAATTATCGAATATATTCGATAATTTTGTTGTTTGATTATATTTTCCTTGAAAAAGCTTGGATTTACTTAAATTCATTCGCTGAGATTTTACAAATATATTCTTCTTTTTAATATTCACGTCATGTATAAATGTCTGTGTGAACCAACACCATTCACCTTGTTTGATAGAGAGTTATTTTGAAGACCAGAAGTTTGAACAACGAATTCTGAAATATTCAGTAGGCTGATTCTATAACCACTGTTCGTAAAAATTAGGAGTGCAGTAATAAAATACTTCCACAACTTTATGTCAAATTTTCGTAACCACATGGTGTTTCGTGATTCTAGTACTCAGTTGATTCAGTAGAATACTGGAGTGAGGTAGTATGCGAAACGTAAAACTCATGTGGATGATTTTGTTGGAGTTTCGTTGTCTGAACTGGATGGATCGATCGTGAATTTTTCATTTCCAATTCTTCTGAACAGCATCATTAGCACAAAATTCAGTTGGAAGTGAGACATTCTAATTTCTCCACACACGACTAACAGCATGTCCTGTCGACCGTGAGCTTGACCGACTATTTTATACTTCTAGTCTGTCATTTTGTGCATATTTATTTTGATTGTCTCCCTCCTCCATTGACCTGATTTATGACCCTGTTTGAAAACCATCCAGTTCTAAGAACGGAACTACACCGGAAACTTCCTCAAGTGAGTCAGGTGACCTGACTGTACTTACTGGACTAATCTGGAGGCAATTGTAATTGAAGAGATTCTGGTTAACTAACGGAGTGTATTGGTGTGTTCCTAGTGATTGAATGGGAGACATCTTTGATACTAACATTGATCTCGTCTGAAACTCCGATATGATAATTGTTATTCCAACGAAAGATTATTACATGATTCGATAGATGTACTTTCCCTTAACTGAAATGATTGTGGATGAACTACATGGTATTGTACAACTTGTAAATTCTTGAATATTACGTTGCACTGTTTCTCATTATTTTTCTTTGAACTTTTGTGAAATGTTTAGCCGTGTTGCGTAATGTATTGATACCGATTATGTTACATTATATATAATGTTGCTATTATTATGTTGTCATATATTATTACATTATTATACTATTATATATATATATATATATATATATATATATATATATATATATATATATATATATATATATATATATATATATATACAGATATTCCTTAAGTGATGTGATATGCGCTTTTATTCTTGAAGAACTTAAGCTGCTACAGTGAAATTTTTTTAATCGCGATCTCAAATCTTATATGTATTTCTGAAATATCATGGTATACTTGAGGTATGAATGCATTAAAATGAGCTATTCCGAATATTTACTTCGCCTCTCTTGACAAAATTAGTATCGGTTTGCATGAATATTTTGAAAACATTTTTATGTTATATAAAGTCTGGATACTCTGTCTAGTCCATAAACGTTTAACCATAGTTTTTTATCATAAATGAAGTAGAATAAAATGTTTTTGTATTATTAGTAACCAACAGTTTTCTGTTATTTTTCTAAAATCATCAAGCGTAATATTTATCAATTGAAGATGAACAAACATTGTGTTGTAAAATTGCTTTAGTTGGATAAAAAGTGACTATCTCTATTTTCTCCATTCACAATCATCATTAGTTGTATTATTGCTGTAATAGCACCTTGGACACTATCCAAAGCAGTTGACTGTTTTACTGGACTCAATATCATTTTTTTGGTTTGACTGTTCTAATCCACACAGTAGTTTTGGAATATCAGGGAATGCAATCACTTGTTAACTGGTGTCAGAGCAGGTTCCAAACTCATTCATTCCACCAGTGGTTTGTAATCAGAATTTTTCATTTCTTTTTAGTGAACTTACTATTTCCACTAATCCAGTTTAAGCACCTAGCCTACACTAGTCAATTGAAAGTAGAGATTAGAAGGTCTCTAGAG